AAAAAAAAAAAAAAAAAAAAAAAAAAGTTTTATAATTTCCCTCTAAAATTGTTGGGACAGTTTGATCCAATAAATTCTATAAATTTTATTTATTTTTTTACGTTAAATTATAATTTTAAGAATAAATTCTACCAAATATCCAGGTATATTTTAGTTATGCCGTATATTCTTTTTAAATTTTGTAATTGGTAAAAAAAAAATCTAAAATAAATTATAGAAATTAACGTGTTAAATTGTTATTATTATTTATTTTATTTTAAAATATATTGTCAAAATTATTTACATTATTATTTTATTATTAATTTTTACACGTCAATAATGATCTAATTTGTGTGAACATTATTAATATAATATCAATTGGTGTTCGCATTTATTTTCATCTTATTTACACATCAACTTATTTATCTCGCTAATTTTTTATTTTATTAAATAGTTTATTTTACTACTTTTATATATACTTAAAAAACAAAACTAAGTTTTGAAATGTTAAAAAATTGTTTAGAAAATCAAGCCAAAAAAAAAAAAATCTAAAGCTTATTTTTGTTTTTAAAATTTATCTAATAATGTTTGGAAAATGAAAAAAAATAAAAAATGGTATTTCAAATAACCCAACGCTAATCGTCTCAGCTTGGCAGAAGCAGGTATGTGTAAGTGTACCAAAAGTCACAACGCAACAGAAAAAGAATGAGCAGCATGGACACTGACACCGACCGTCAATACAGCCTGCAAAACAGACCATATATAGCGAAACAGAAACAGAGCCCTTTCCCCTTCTAAGAACCATCTCCACAAATCCCTTTGAAAATCATGAAATTCCAATCCCAGTCTATGATTCCTTGAACGCAAAATAAGAAAAATTCGAATTCCCAAATGGGTTCTCTGCAAAAGCCTCCATCTCTGTTCCTTTTCCTCTCAATTTCGCGCCTATTTTTCTTCGCCATGGCTGCCACAGACACCACATCCTTGGTTTTCAAGGGCTGTTCTCCGCAAAAATTCCAAGACCCATCTGGAATTTACGCCCAAAATCTCAAATCCCTCTTTTCTACACTGATTTCTCAATCTTCCCAGAAAGCCTTCTTCTCTACAAGCTCCGGCGATGGCGGAAATGCGATTCAGGGACTGTTCCAATGTAGAGGCGACCTCTCAATCCCACAGTGCAACGACTGCGTTAGCAAGATTCCGGCTATGGTGGACAAGCTCTGCGGCCAGGCCGTGGCGGCCAGAGTCCAACTCATCGGTTGCTATTTACACTACGAGGTTGCCGGATTCCGACAAGTTTCAGGGATGGAGTTGCTTTTCAAGATTTGTGGGTCGATTCAAGCCGTCGGAAGTGGGTTTGAAGAGAGGAGGAATACAGCTTTTGAAATGGTCGAAACTGGGGTAAAAAATAGCGGTGCTCTGTTTTACACTGGAAGTTATCGATCGCTTTATGTGTTGGGACAGTGCCAAGGGGATTTGAGCGGCGGCGATTGCAGCGATTGTGTGAAGACGGCGTCGGAGAGGGCCAATAGTGAGTGCGGTTACGCCATTTCCGGGCAGATTTATCTGAACAAGTGCTATGTCAGTTACAGTTACTACCCAAATGGGATCCCCAGCATATCATCATCTTCAGGTAATGATCAAATTTCAGAAATCGATATAACCCTTTAATTCTTTCGGTGTTAATTTCTTATATTCATCCATTTCCAGTAGTTCAAATTTCGCTTTCACATGTTGAACCTGAGAGAGAAATTGGGATGATTTTCATCTTCTTTTCTCTTTCTGATGCGTCTGTGAGAAATCATTGACTGAAAATTAAAGAATTCGAGACCCACTTTGCTTTTGTTGAAAATGGACAAAAAGAGTGATTCAATATAAAAATATTTGGGCCATTTTCAATTCATGCAAGTATAGAATATACATTTCTTGGTGATGAGTATAATGGCACATTGATTGGGTTTCAATGGTGTAGGGTCGAGCCATAATACACAGAGAACGGTAGCCATTGCAGTGGGAGGCTTTGCAGCTTTGGCCTTTCTTATTGTTTGTTTGCTCTTTGTTAGATCAGTGATGAAGAAAAAAGGTAAACATGGAGGCTGATTTCTCGCTCTTTCACGGTCATTTTCATTACGTATCGTAGTATTGTAAATGAAGATAGAGCAGCACTTTTTTCATATATTTGTGAGTGTTCGAGCCATTTTGTACACATCTCGATTAGACGATACCTTGTTTATAGATACAAGATCGGATATAGTCGAAACAATATGATTTCTACGAAGAATTTGGAATGGGTTGATTTTCGTTCTATCAGTTCATGGGGAAGAGACTAAAGTTTGGGGAAGATTACATGGAAAAAAAAGTGCAACAAAGAAAGAAAAGACATTTGTCTTCTTCTCACTTCCACCATCTTTACTTTAATCTCCTTTCTTATGCTTTATTTTTCTTTAGTTTGCAGCCATAACTTAACAACAAGAATGGCTTTTGGTTTGTTGAGAGAAATTTCTAAAATTTTATAAGCTATATTTTTATTAATTAATGGATTAATATTATTGGACTCTATATTATTCTTAAATGACACTAACCTGAATGCAATAAATATTTGTAGCATAAATTTTCATTTATTGATTACTGTCTTAATGTTGTTCCACTCTACCAGATAACATGAATGACATTAAATGAAAGTATTGTTCATTTGAATTACTTAGAAATAATAAGAAAATGAGACCAAAGACAATAAAAGAGACACTGATGTAACATAAGAAAGAGCATGACGTATATGAATAAGATAGACGAGAGATTGTATTTCTTTTTTTTTTTCTTCCTAATTATATTTAAGATAAATTATAAGTCAATTATCTCAACCGTGTTTAATAGGTCATTCACATCTTCAATAGTTTGTTCATAATGATTTGATTAAAAATATATATTTATAATCAACAAGTGCAATTAAACAAAATTGTTATTTAAAGCACCCTTCAAAATATGAAATATAAAATATATATATATATATATATATCAATAAAACATTTTTTTAAAAATTACAAGGTATTCCAAACAATTTGTAAGCTCTTCCAGTTTAATTTGTATTCCATCTCTTGTCAATAGAAAAATAAAACTCTCTTCCTTCCTACATAAGCCCAAGTAAAGATTCGATGGATTTTAGGCACGATTCTATCAAGTTCAATGGACAAAACAAAAAAAAGATGTATTATACATTTCACGATAACTAGTCTCAAGATTCGCATCTTTATAATCAACTCAAATATAAATATTTTAAACACAAATTTCAAATTATCTACTTGCTTTGTTCAAGGTCTAAGAATTTTTTATTCAAAAAATTTAAACATAGTTCAACCACAACCAGTTAAAACACCAAAAGTAAAAGTTCAATAGCAGAAAAATGGTAGGATCCTGCGCTACCAAAAGAAGGACTTTAACAATTTTTCAACCTTTATGGCTGTGGCTGTCTGTCTTGAATGGCCAAACTTTTGCTTTTTATAAATGGACAAGGAGAGCCCAAAATGTCCATGATTGAGAAACCTTCCCCAATAATCTCCAACACAAGAAATTTCATCTGAAATTGCAATGAACCAATAAAGAAATTAAATTAGGGCACATAAAAAATGTATAAACATAGATCAGAGAGTATGAAGTCATTCTTCCTAATAAAAAGTAAGGATGCATCAGCAATCCAATTATATGACTTTTACTTCATACCTAAGAAAAGATCAAGCTCATCGTGAAGCTTTTTATAATTTTATTAGCCAATGCCTCACAGGAACAACGAAATCTCTTATATCTTCCATCTTTTTTTTCCCAAAAGGAGGAAATCAGCTTACCCACGAAGCAATCAACTCCCAACTTTCTTCCCAAAAGTGTTTCACTTGTTCCCTTCAGAGAGTTAACTGACTTTAAAAATCATCTCTAGCAGATTTCATTGAAGGGCTACTAAAAGGTCTCAATTTATAGCATGAAGTCAACACTATCTTGTTTTTTTCGGTGTGAGTTCAACATGTAAGGTGGAAATTCAAACATCTGACCTCTTGGATGAGAAAACGTTTTAGAGAGTTTCTATGGGGGTGTAGGCCTCCCTTGGTTATACACGGAGGAGGGAAATAGTTACCTCCAGCCAAACATAGATAGGCCCTCGAGTGCTAGGGCCAAAGGAAGCTTGACTGCAAGAACCACCCGTTGAGCATGAAGAAAAGTCGGCCTTAGTGATCCAACAATGCTGAATGGAAGGGCCGTCACTCAAAGGATAAAAGTTAACAAACCATGCTTAGGTTAGAGAAAAGAAACATCTAGTATAACCCACCATGCATGAAGCTGAGATTACTAAGAATATAGCTTGGTAGAAGACCAATAAACCCGTCGTACCAACAGTCGACCATTTCCTACGAAGAGTTGAAAGGATGGTAAAGTAGCATACTGAGATCATATTGTCTTTACACAGTTCATATCCACGTGCACTATTTCTGCTGGAAAGAGCAAACATTAAATAAAGCCATTTAAAAACAGGGAAACAGAAGAAACTCAAGAACAAAGTCACAAACTAATGCGAGTTAGAAATCCACTTGTGGTATCAACATGAAGGATTTCCGATGCGCACAGAAATATAGAGAAACAAATTGTGGGAGCGGTTAACCATCATCCAAGAGTTTACTCCGTCTCTCCACACTGATAAAATAAAATAAAATTAGGGAAAAAGAAGAAGATGATGATGAAGAATACTTCCTCTCAAGCCCTTGAAAGATTATATTGTCTCTCTCACTCCAAAGCCCCTACAAGATAGTACACACCCCAGCTTGCCATAATAGTTTTCCATGCACATCAAACAAGTAGATCTTTGCCCTTTTCTATCCAAAAATCCCATCTTGAGCAAGGACTAATATGCTAAGAGAGTCAGATAAAAAAGTAAGATCAAAACAAAACTTCCCAACAACAGTGAGATGACTAGAATTTGTTTTTCCAGAAAACAAATAGAACCCTCACGTTTCTCCCTTTCCAACCACCGGCACGAAACTATTCAATCAAATAAGCTAATTACCCTTCTAAGATCCTTATTTTGTGTAGCTCCAAAATATGGTCGGACACTGAATACCTGACAATTCTTCCTTGCACATTCATGCAAATGACAGTTTACCAAAATCAAGTGTCTCAACTTATGAAACCTAGAGTATATATAATGGGGTAATTGGAAGACAGAGTAATCAAAGGGATAAACTACATATCTATTAATTTATTTCTGGGGGAGGGTAGAAATTTAAGCAAAATGAGCATAAAATTGTTGTCAAACCAAATAAATGCTGCATAATTTTTCTCATACGCTAAAGTTGGGCGGAGGAACTCCTGTGACACTGCTGTTACCACATAAATATAGAAAAAATCATCCTAGTTCTGCATTTCCACTCAACAGCCATCCAACACCCTTACAAAAAGAAAATTAATTTGAAGCTAAAAAGGTTACTACTAAGATTTAGATTCCAAAAGAAAATTCATCTCAATCTTTTCAATAATGCTTATTCTAGAAGGGAATGACTGCAGTATGCTTATTATTTCCTCTCTACCTCTTTTAGAGAGGTTTCGGTACCCAAAAATAAACTAAAACCAGATAAAAGGATACCTGAGCGACCCATGACAACTTAAAACTCCTTCCTCGTGAGGTTGAACATATTTCTTCATTTACCGAACATGTTAGAAGGTTCAAATTCCCCACCCCTTGTATACATATGTGCTATCGAACATCATTGTCAACGTAGATAAATGTGTATTATCTTTAAAATTCAACATCAACTTCATCCGTTCAAAGTATTATGAGCCAGAGCTTAAAAGGGGGCAATGGACTCAAAATCGAGCATGGATCTTTTATTCTAAATCTCGTACCAAATAGGGCTTTGAATTGAAAGTATCTGTAAACCAATTCAGAGTGCCTTACAAACCATAACTAAAGAAAAACTCTTCTTGTTTCAACTCGTTAATCAACAATCTCGTGACTACCGCTTAGCAAACTAATCGATCCGCAAGCTTAAATGACCTAATTAGAGGAAAAATGAGATACAACAAGGGAGAAATGAATACCGATGGGCCTCCATCAAGCATCGACGCGGCCAACAACTCACTTAAGCGGCGGGCCAACAGAAGGGGCTCCAAGAAGACTAGCTTGCTGGAGCTCGAGCTCGTTCAGCTGCTGCTCGCGATCCATTTCGATGATGAGAGGGACGACAAGGACGAGGAAAGTGGTGCCGGCGATCCAGGCAGCTTTTCCAGTGCTTCGGAGGAGCTTCTTGGAGACGAAGACGGCGTTAGAAGCAGCCTCTCTTCCTCGAGACACCGCTGAAGACTGGTAGAACCTGGAGATTATGCCGTTTTTGTTGCCTTCGGCCTTGGACCCTCGCCGTTCCGGGAGAGAGACTCCGCCTTTTCGGGACGCCATTGCAGCGGAACTTCGAGAATGACCGGAACGATTGCGGCGGTGAGGGATTTCACTTCTCCCTTCGTTTGTTTTGAATGACTGAATTGGTTCGAAGTCATTCGATTCTTTTCTTTTTCCTTTTTAGGATTCTCCTCAGTAGTGAAAAGAAAGTGTCACAATGACCATTCTGCCCCTAAAATACCGAATTTTACCGTGGTAAAAACTCATAATCAAGTTTTACCTATAAAAGAAAAAAAGAAGCCTAACATCATTAAAAATAAATTAAATAAATTCAAATTATTTTCGTGGCTTAATTATGGATTAAAAGATTTAATATTTAAGAACATTAATAAAATAACTTACATTTAGTATGCTCAATTAGATAAGGGTGATAATAACTTAAACTCATTGAATTTAGTTGATTGATCCTAAAGATTTAGTGGCTCATTAAAATAATTATTAACCTGTTTAAAACATGAATCACGTTATAAGGTTATATTTTATCTAGACAAAGATGATTATGCGAACCTATTCTGACATTTTTGACTTTATGAGCCTAATTTTTTGGTTCATGGTAAATAAATAAAATTATTATTATTATTGTAATTATTAATTAGGAGTGGGTGAGATATGTACTATTAGGCACTACTATAAACAAAATAATGTTGAAATTAAAATCACACATCTTATATATTAGTTGGGTTATAGTTTAGTTAGAAACATATCTTCACACGAGGCAACAATCCGATTCTCCGATGGCTGGTGGGGCCCGCGGAAGTTATGTGGGTCCTACACGGTTCAACTTCCGACGTGTATAGCATTGTGATGAGGTGGGCCCCACCTTGTCGGGCTCACTTTTAGAAACAGCTGAATGCGGGCCCCCAGTTCATTTCCTTCAAGTGCTTTCTTTGTATCGTTATCGTATTCATGTTTCTCGTAAAATATCGTCAATTTATCATTTTCATATAGCTTTGGGCTCAATCTTTTGGACCACAATTTTATTACAATTACTTAAAAAAAAATAATTATTATAGTTAAAATATTTATTTAAGTTAATTAAATTATGCTTGTTATGAATTTGAGCATTCGTTCAATTTTATTACCTAATAGGTCAATTAATTTTTAAGAAGTTTATTTTTTTATCATTTATTTAGAGACGAAATAAAAGAGAGGGAAAAGTTAATGGGCTGGGCTCAAGCCCATTTTAGTAACTTATAAATATCCGTAGCGGAGAAATTCAAAATATCAAGAAAAATAGGGTAAGGCTAAGGCTAAGGGCAGGGCTGAGCCGAGGCAGGAAGAATGAGTATGGAAGAAGACAATGATGGAGATGGAGGCGCACAAACCAGACAGGTGGGTCCAATTCCTCATAAACTCAATCAATGCCGTTGCTTCAATATCAATCTCCATCTTCTTCATCACGCCACCACCATTAAACCTTCCTTCTCTCTCTTCCCCTTTCCTAATCTCTCCCAAACAAATCCTCCTCACCATTCACACGACATTGCTTTTTATTTGCTCGTTATTGTTAGTTGTTGTTGTTGACGTTGATTTTTTCATTTCCTTTCACTTCAAGACTTCGTTTCTGATCAACCCACTCCCTCCTTAAATCCCCCTTACCTCTGCTTCAATTTCTTCGTCTTCCTCTCTCATTACGGTTTAATCTAGTAATTTTCTGTGCTTTTTCAACGAGGAGCTGCTGTAATTTCTGAAGAATTTATGTCGACTGTTTCCAGAGATGAAAGCGTGGTGTTGTCTTCGGAAGACGAGTCTCCGGATGAATCTGAGATCGAATTGGGGCTAGGGCTCAGCCTCGGCGTTCGTGATTCGGCACACAAGATTCAGAAAGTTGCGATGCTTCAATTTGGGAAAATTTTAACGGCTGAGGATTTTCCTGCGTCGATCTCCTCTCACTCGTCTATGTCTTCGTCGAGCTCATCTGTTTGTTCCTCGTCGTGGCCTTGTGGATTCAGTGTCACTAATCGCTCGAAGATAAATTCTGATTCTGCAGCAACTACTAATGGCGGGAGGTATTGATTACTAATTCTTGCTGATGCCGAGGGATTTAGTGCGTAGTTGATTCGACCTTTTCTATGGTTTAACCAATTTTGTGAAGCATACGAATTTAATTTCTCTGATCGATCACTACTAGTTTTAGATTTGTCTATTAACACAGTTCTAACGCGATTTAATTACGGTCTCAATGGGTGATTATTGCCAATCGGACTTTCAAGTTTTTTTTTTGACTTTTGTGGCTCTCTTTCCGTCTTGTAACGGTCTATTATTACTCCCGTAGCTGTGAATTTGCATGTGTTTCTCTGGTTCTGCTTTTCAGTACACTATTGATTCGAATCTCTGAATATTTATTTTGATGAATCTGATACTGACAGATATGTTAGCTCTTGCTTCCTTTTATGGTTCCTCTGGTTCCCTCTTCCCCATCCCGAAAGCAAAACAGTAAGCTGAATATAGATAGGGAATCATTTTAAACATTTTCGGATTGACTTACTGCCGTACTTCATCTAATTAATATGATACGGCTGTGAATAAACTGAAAACTGGCCTTTGCTAGACTTCAAAGGATGAGATGCCCTGATATGATTAGACGGCACAGCCCTTTCAAATGTCTTTCTAATACTTGTCAAGTCGTCATGGTAATTTATTTGGTAGAACTTCAAGTTAACATTCAATAGGAGCGTAATTGCTACCTCATAACCTAAGAATTAGACTCATACATGTGAGATCACACATCGGTTAGAGAAGAGAGCAAAACACTTTTTACAAAGGTGTTGAAAACTCTCTCTAGCAGACTCGTTTTAAAACCTTGAGGGGAAACTCGAAAGGGAAAGCCCAAACAAGACAATATTTGCTAGCGGCGGACTTGAGCCGTTACAAATGGTATCAGAGTCAGGCACCGAACGGTGTTCCAGTAAGAACGTTGGCCCCCAAGGAGTAGAACGAACCATTCTTTATCAGGGTGTGTAAACCTCCATAGCAAACGTGTTTTAAAACCTTGAGGGGAAACTTTCTGGGAAAGTCCGGGAAAGTCCAAAGAGGACGCTTGCGTTGGGCTTTGACTGTTACAATCGACTCAAAAGAAAGTTCAAAACCCTTCAATTATCTTCATTTACCAGACATCAGAAAGTTAGGATTGGTTTGAGGCAATAAAGAAGGACGCATCAAATTTTTATTTTTCTGCCTCTTCTATGATCTCTGCGGCATTAACACCCTGCCAAACAAGAAGGATGAATGTGGAAAAGCTCGAACAGCTCCCATTGTAGCTTACAGGCCTTAGGGTCCGGATAAAACAAAAGACACTCTTCTTTCATTCCTCTTCTTTTTGTTTCCTTATCTGTTCTGGGTACAAATTGATTAAAATTACAATAGTCTTGCCAACAAATGTAATATTTTGATTTATTTTTCCAGAAGTAACCAGGTCGTGGGGTGGCCACCGATCAGAGCTTCTAGGATCAGTACCTTGGCTAACCAGGCAAAACCTCATTCTGTAGAAGGATTCAAGGCAGAAGCTGGCAAGAATAAAAACAAGCATACGGAGGCAGGGACACCTAATGGTGTTGGTGATAAACACAAAGCAAATGAAAAGAGTAGGAATTCCAGAAATTCTTTGTACGTGAAGGTTAATATGGATGGAGTTCTTATTGGAAGAAAGGTTAACCTCAGTGCTTACAGTAGCTACGAAACCTTGGCCCAAAAAGTAGAGAACATGTTCCTTGATCCCACTGCACTAGCTGATTCAACTGGTAATTCCTTTCTCGCCTCTGTAACTTCATGTTTATAAGTGAATTTTGTGTTGATGCTATCGTTTTGTCTGAATGAAATTAAGACAACCTTTTACTTAAAAGATCTTTAGGATTACTTTAAAGCTTCCTAAAGAAGGATAATGTTGAGAATGTCTGAAAGAACGGGTCTCTTCCTGAAGTAAATGCCAGTATTTTTGGATTGGATTCAACCATTTTCTTGAGGTTGGAGAGAAGCTTCTTATTATCAGTTGTGAGGCAAAAATTTCAACTCTTTTGGCAAAAATTTCAACCCTTATTAATTTATTGATGAATATGTGTTGTTCTAGAATCAATTCATGAAGGTAGATATTTTCTGTCTGGTAACCGATAATGACGCCTTTTCATCTGATACAGGATCAAGCATAAAGGAAAATGACATGGTGAGACCCTCCAGACTACTAAATGGACTATCCGAGTACATGCTTACTTACGAGGATCGGGATGGAGATTGGATGCTAGTTGGCGATGTTCCATGGGGGTACACGTCCTTTTCATTCTAATTCTTCTGATGAAATTTATAACACAATCTTCTGAACTAGATACTCTCAGTAACTCCAGTTTCTTGCAACTGTTTTAAGAGGGGTCTTCTATTTGTTTAATTTTTCTTTCGTGTATAAGTAATTTTGATTCTCTTTTGATCATATATCCAGAATGTTTACCAACTCCGTGAAGAGGCTTAGGATAATGAGAGCCGCTGAAGCTAATCAAATTGACAAGTGATCTGCCAGCAGGATTGGAAACTCACCAATTGAAGACGTTTCCTTTTTTCTTTTTTTTTTTTTTAGCACAACACCGATTCTCTGGTAAATTTGCAGCTATGGAGCAGCAAGAGAAAGGATTGGTATTTATATGAGCAAGGCCAATATGTATGGGACTGAGGCAGCCGATATAAGCTTGAAAACTGTGCAAAGGAGAAGAGGGAATAGGCGAAGTATTAAGAAAAGAAAAAAAAATTGACTTTCTTTTTTGGCTTTCTGATCTCGTTCCCCACAATTTGTGTATTTTTGAAGTCACTCACAGCCGTAAAGCCATGCACATTTGCCGATGTGGGAATGTTTATGCTCTAGTTTTCCTCTCCACCAATGGAGATTGGAGAGAAAATGCTGTGGTTATGTGTGTTTTGTAAACAGGTAAAGTTTTGAATTTCAATAAAATAAAATGATTACAATAATATGCTTGTATTGCTTATACATATATAGCTTGAAACTTCAAATATTATTTGTTATACAAGCCTTTCCATTTTCAGTTAATTCTAATGGCAGACATGTAATTTATACTATACATCATCTGCTCTTGTACACACCCAACAAATGAGCCAA